TTCCGAATACTTCCGAATATATTCGAAAAAAAAAACGCAATTTTCAATTTTGTTTTCTATGGTTTCCTGGCTTTATTTGTTCAGATAACTTAAAATGAAAAACACATTTTCATGGCCACTTTTTCTGCTCTCTAACTCTGTGTGATTAAATATTGACTCTGACGTTTCGGCTTCTGGCGATCATCATCAACTTAATTTTTTTAAATACCGACCTGATTTTTTTTTTCAATTTAATTAAATCCTTTCATCACTCTTAAAACACTATATATAGTCACTTTGATATTTGCCGACGTTTCGTACAGAAAATTCTATCACCAGAATATTTTATGCAAAAAAAATAAAAATGCAATACAGAATTTTATTGGGCATCGAATTGCGCAACGTTGCCTCCATTTAACCGATCCTGTATCTCTTACGGTTTCCGAAATCCTAATGATGAGCGTCGAATTTGAGCCACCCTGTACACTCTTTCCCACGTCGCAACACGTAGGCTCACGTGGGATAGCGTGGCGTTGCGTGGCGTGTGGCCTAATCGGGTTCCGGCTTTAGCCACTCCGACATACAGTCGAGGCACAAAAAGTAATTTTTACTCCGAATAGAACATGCTATTTTTTTCAAACGCCACAAATAAGTTTTTAAACAACTTCAAACATTCTAAATAATATAAAAAGATTTAAAAGTCATACCTTGTATGTTAATTATATATCGAAAAACTATGGTTACGCTTGTTGAATTTGACGCTTTATGTCAGTAATAATATGTTTTCGTACTTTTATGGCTTAGGCGTAAAAGTGCTTTACTTTTATGCCTAGGCGTTAAAATTACTTTTTTATATTGTCTATCACATCGTTAAAATTAAAACTTCAGTGACGTTTGAAAAAAAAAATATTTTTGTTTACTATACATATACACTTAAGATAGAATTTCTGATATCAGTCTAATTTCCGATTACGATATTACTTTTGTATTCTAATTTCAAAGTGTGTCACATAGCTAGAAAATTCATGATCTAACTTTGACACTGTTAAAAAAATGTTCTGAAAAATTATGCACCGTGGCGTATTTTTACAAGACAAAAAATGTAGCAAATACTAGGAGGACTATTTTACAAAAAAAAATCGGTTGTTGGTGGAGTTGGAGTTTTCACCCTTATTTTACCGGTATTTTTACTTGATTTTTATGACAGTTAAATGTTAAAGCAAAACATAGGCAACCAAAATTCCAATCAAATCGGAACAGTTCTTAAACTATCTTAAAAAATGTGTTTATTTTTTATGGTTTGATGCCCTCTAACGGACAAATGAAACACTTTTGTATAGGGGTAAATTGTGTCCAATGAACTTATTTTAATTCCAAAAATACATAGTATGCAGTTCTATGTCCACGGAATATTAGGACACCCGTGAACACTAGTATCTGTAGATATCCGTGTAAAAAACATAGTTTCATTGTTTACAGCTGTGTCATTCGAATAAACTCTGCCATACTAGATAGTCGTAAATAAATCCAAACTAACATGCAAACGGCGAGATAATAATTTAATTATACACGTCCTTTACCATTTTTTAAGCTGATCGTGATGTAACTAGCCTAGAGAGCAGTAAGACAAAATCAATAAAATTTGCATAAATCCCATTCTAAACAAACATGCTGTGCTTTAAACGATCTTGATGAGTGTTTAAAGTGAAATATTATTGGAACTGAACAAATATTAGTATTGTTTTTATCGTATTATAATTTTTAATTAATGTATTTACAATTAAATACATCAAGTTGTGTACCCAAAAAGATAATCTTCCTGTACAATTTCACTTTCCAAATATACTGGGTGGTCCGAACTGTATTCCGGAAACTTCGGCAGCATATTCTGCAAATAAAAATAAGTAAAAATGTTCGTATAGATGTATGTCCAAAAATGCTTGGTTTCGGAGATACAGGGTGTAGAAGTTTTATTTTTTTTTTCCAAGTAATTTCTGCAGTAACGTCAGTAATATTTGGATTAAAATTGGTAGTGTGGAAGTTTTTGACGCATGAAGAAATTTGATTTTAATTCAATTTCAATATGACTCTA